ATTCAATTAAACCCTAAAGAGTAAGCCCTTAACCCGAAACCTGCAGCTTCAAACCCTAGACCCCGCACTCGCTTCTGAAACTTTACGAGTCGAGTGTCGACCCCCGGATTTTCTTTCGTTCCACTTGACGAATGTGGCTGACTTGCACAAGCAACACCCTAAACCCTAAACTCTAAACCGTGAGCACCAGTCTTCCTTCTTGGCTTCCACTTTCTCGTGAGGAATGCAAAATAGGTACCCGTAATAACGCGGAAGGCTGTTATAGGCATATACAAACCAAAACAACTGTGCTCAGGAACAAAGGGTGAAGAGTTTTAATAATCTTTTCCCATATTATATGTTCTTCTCAATATATTCATCCATAGGGAAACTGATGAACCTCTGTAGCTCCACAACGGGGTCGATGGTGCCAGTGGGCTGTCGGGGAAACGGTGGATTGGTACTCTACGGACTCTAAGCTGACACAGTCCATTCAATGCGATCCGAATACTTCAATTCAGAAAAAAATCAAACAGGTATTGCCAGAAAAGTAGAAGAAAAAGACAAAGACCCAATAGGCCACCAGCAGGGCCACGGGTTGTACACGAACCACCAGGGTACCGGACTCGGTTGAGCTTGGCTGATAATGCTCAGCTGCCGTTTCGCACAACAGGTCGAACCAATTCTATAGTTATCAGATGAAACTCTTCTATCAATTTTGAACTAACAAACATTTGACTGTCACTCCTGACTTGCGATACTTGCAATAGCCACGGGACCGGATGCGCGAGCCGGGGAGTCTCGAAGGCTGCGCATTCCCCCCGCACCCCGTATTTTGTGAAATATCATTATATTTACCTTCAACACGTTGTGGTCAATGTTGCTGTTATATTCTTTCCTGGCCTCCGCATGGCCGGCGGGCGCTGCGGGAGAGGGGGGTGGCGCCTCGCACAGGCTGAAGGATCATACTTCGCAGCAAGGAGGAGCTCATCTGGACGTTTCTGAAGTTTCAAAGCCGTTTAGTGTGGAAAGGCGTCACAGCACAGCTATTTTTGCCATCTCCGTGCTGAGTGTCGCGCTTGTTCTTACATTCGTTCTTGCGCAGTGCTTCAAGGCATTCAAATACGCGGAGAAGTCGAACACATCGGGAAGTGGAGCCAGAGAACTAGCAGAAGGAAAAGACAACCAGTGCACTGTGAGCTTTTTCGCGAGAGGGGTGTCGCTGCGGCACGAACGCCGCCAACTAGTTGGGTCCAGAGGGGGAATCGGACGAAAATCTTGTTAGAGATTTCCCAGCTCCAGGGCAAGATGAATGAAATAGAGAGACAAATACCCGCCAACTGCCGCTAATATCTTAGCCCGCAGCTGACCGCATTCATCTTCCTTGGTTTTTAAGAGGCCGATATAGTGTTCAGCTCATGCAACCTTGCCGCGTTTGCCACTACTGCATTGCAACGCGCTCCGATGAAACCTTCAGGTTTTGATCGCGTCCAAACCATGGCTACGCTTGAATTTTGGCTCGCGTATGGAGGGTGTTGCAGCTTGTTTGGAGCAGTTAGCTGCTGTGA